CCCGGACACTCGCCTACCAAGTACCCTTGAGGTGCTGCTGGGTCATTGCTTCTGAGCCCCAACCCCAACCCAGAGAAGACCTGTTGCCCGCCCTCCACCCACTCGCTGAACAGCAGGACACCCTGTTGGGGGCTTCACCTGTCTGTGGGTGGGAATGAAAGTGAACTTGGGAGGGGCACGGGGCTGTAGATCAGGGACAGCGCTATTGAGCCCCTCCCTGTGGCCCCAACCTGTTGGGTCCCTTGCTGCAAACTCATGAAGCTGGGCCTCAGCTCCCTGGTCTCCTGCCCTAGGTTATGAAAGAAAGTCTCCAGGGTGAGGCGCTAGGGAGAGGCCTCGGCTGTCTGCTGTCCCCAGGCTGGGTGCCTGCTGTCCACCCTGCTTTCCTGTTACTGTTGCAGCTTGCGCTGAGCCTGCCCAGTTGGAGGAGACTGGGCACCCCTGCCTCCTGCCTCCTGCCTCCTGCCACCCTGTCTTAGTCCCCATCTCTGCCCCCTGAAACGTGAGCCCCTGCCAAGGCCAGAGACCCACAGCCCCGAAACGAGAAGTGCCCTTAAGAATCTCCCCAGCTCCCGCAGCCCTGGAATAAATTTTGCAATTAGTTTCCAGCTACCTTTGCCTGTTTACATTCTGGGGCCAAAGCAGAACGGCCCCGGTGGGTTCTGGGTGGTCTGGGGGTGGGGCAGTGCTCTGGCCTGGAGGGAGGTGGCATGCAGACCCTCTTTGGTTCAAAACTGGGGAGGCAGATGGGTTTTGGGGCTGGGCGGGGGGACACCAGGCACTGTTGGGGTTTGGGCCCCACCTCATCCCTCGGACCCTGGGGCACTGGGACGCCCGGGGATGCTGTTGCCTCTCTGCCTGTTGTGTCCTGGCCTTGCCAGCTCAGCCCCCTATTGTGGGGCAGAAGGAGCAGCCATTTAAGGGGCACCTACTGTGTGCTCCCCTCATCCCACTGTCCTGGAAGCAGCCCTGTGAGGCACGGGTTGTACTCCAGGAGGGAAAGGCACTTGCCAAGGGCCCATGAGCCACAGACCTGGGAGACCAGAACCCTCAAAGCCCTGGCCCTTTCCTGTCTGCCCTGCCACGTCCCTCACAGATTCCACCCCGGCCCCACGTGGTGGCGGCAGTGAGCACCGCCGCCATCCGAGGCTTCCTCTTCCTCCTCCGCTCCAGGCCCCCTGCCCAGCGTTTCCTGCCCCATCTGGTCGCACCTACTGCTCTTTGCAGCCACTTCCATAGGAGGCATCCCCAGGTTACAGATGAGGAAACTGAGGCACAGAGGGCCACAACAACTTGCTGAAGGTCACACAGCTGAGAGGGGCACCATGCAAAGCTCCACCATGCAAAGCTCCATCAATCCTGATCCACTTTGACCAGTTTGACCAGCTCATCTCCAGGACCACCCCGGCCTTCATGCAAATTAGAAAAACGTGTCCCCTCTAGGGCGATATAGCCACAGGCACACAGCTTGACAGTGGCTTTTATGCAAAGAAAAAGGTGCCCCTCTTCTTCCTGGCACCTGCAGATGCCCTAGCTTCTGCCCTGGGCAATGTCCAGCCTTGTAGGTGGAGACTGTCTTAACCAGACTGTAGTCTGCTGTGATACTTAATATAACTGAGACAGACAAGATCAGAAAGTGATTGACCCTGCTCCTGGGAGAGATGAGGGGTCTGGAGAACAGGAAGACTTTGTAGCAGAGGTGTCCTCCAAACTGGGTTTTGAAGGATGCCCAGGAGTTCACCAGCAAGATAGGAGCTAGGGGCAGTCCAGGCAGAGGGAACGGTGGAAGCAGAAGGATGGAGGGGTGTTAGCGGCCATGTTTTGGGACCTAAGAGAAGTTACTCTGGCTGGAGAGTAAAGAGGGTGTGTGTAGGGGGCAGGAGGGATATGGAACGGGGTGGGGGTGGGGGATGGGAAAGGATCCCTTGGTCCCACCTTTGTCCCCTCCCCCACAGCCCATATGATTGGTTTTGGGGGAGACAGGAGCCCGCCGAAGGTGAGGATGCTGAGATGCAGGCAGTCGGGAGGCCCAGTGCCCTACCTCCTTGCTGCCCCTTCAGGGTCCCGCCCCTCCTGTCCCTGCTAGGGATAGAGTGCCATACTTGGCCCAGGGTTCCCAGCACAGGAGCAGGGTTCTGCTGGCCCTGTGGAGCCATGCTGTCTTCTCTCTGGACTGCCTCCCCAGCCTGGCGCCTTCAAGGCCTTGAACCTCCTCTGGGCCACAGGCTCTGGCTCCTACAGCCCTGGACATCTGTCTCAGGCCACAGCTGACGCTTCCTGAGTGCCTGCTGAGGGCTGTGCCAGGAACCAAGCCCAAGACTGTGCAGACCCCTCGAATGGTCGTTGGGTGGGCATGATGTACCCCATTCTACAGAAGACGGACGGAGCATCCAGAGGCCACAGCCATCCCCAGCAAGAAGCACCTGAGACCCCGTACCTGTGTGGGTGGGGCCAACACCCTGAACAGATTTTGTCCCAGAATCAACCCAGGTGGGGTCCAGCATGGAAGCTGGAGGCTCCTGGGAGCTCTGGGTGCCTCACTGCGTCCTGGCTGCTTCTCAGCCAGCGCTGCCCCACCTCCCCTGGCCCCAGCAGGATGTGAGCCAGGCCGGTGTCAGCAGGACAGCATTGGCCGCCTGGGCCCTCACTTCCCTGCCTCTGGCCTTGGGGTCCACCCTGGCACCAGGCCTGGTGCAGAGCCCTCATGCCATCCCTGCTCCCCTCCCTGCCCTGAAGCCCATTCTAACAAGAAGAGACCAAGATTCAGAATGACCTTGCCCACAGCCACATAATGGGTGGTGGCAGGTCCTGGTCCCACGGCGTGACTTAGAAGCATCCAGACTCACAACTGACCTTCGAGCTGTCTTCGAGCTGGGGCCCCCACTCACACCGACCGCCACCCCTGTCCCCTGTGCTACAGGGCCCGGGAGACCCCAGGCCTGACTGGTCTGAGCCTGTGTCCTCTGTACAGCAGGAGTGATGGTGGCTCAGGGCTCTAAGATGGTAAAGGGCTCAGCCCTCCCTCCAGGGATACAGCAGGCGCTCATAAACGCTGGCTGCGCCTACCCTGATGATGAGGCTGAGGCCCTGGAGTCCCAAAGCCAAGCGCAGCTTCTCTGGCTTCCTGCCTCCTCCCAGAGAGCCTTGCATCCTCTCTGCCCAGGCCAGGACTCGCAGAGGACAGGAGAGCCCAACGGTCCTATTTATTACCAGACACCGCAGGGCCCATTGGAACTTCGGGGGCAGGTGGAAAGGAGCAGATCACAGGCAGAGCCTGGGGACTCAGTGGGTTAGGGGAGCTTGGGGCTGGGGCTCACACTCCTTTAGGGAAAGCGAGGGGCTGAGGCCGCGGGAGCAGGGGCCGCTGTTGGCTCTCGAGGACTCCCGCTGCGCCGTTCTGGGGTCTGGGGTCCCGGCAGCGCTGAGCTGGGCAGGGTTTGGCTGCGAGTTTCCCGGGCACGCTTTAAAAACCTAGTGGGAAAGTGCGCCCTTGGGCTGGGCTGGCAGAGGGTCCTGGTGGAGAAGCTGGGGATGGAAGGGCTCTGGGAACTGAAGATGGGGGAGACCCCGGCCAGTCTCCTCTGTGCGTCTCAGTTTCTCCATCCTCGCGTGCCCCTAGGGCTCCGAGGCCTTTTAGGAGGGGCGGTGGCGGTCCGCGAGGGACACAGCCCGGCAGCTCCCGCTGCCCCGCGCCTCCAGTCCCCGCTGAGTGGGCTGCGGAGTTGGGTGGGGACTGGAAGCGGGGGCGTCCGGAGAGCCCGGCCGGGTGGAGGGTCCGGAGGGTGGGGCCCAGGTGGAAGCGGCTCCGTTGCTACGAGCGGCCCTAGCAACGCACCCATTCAGCGGAGACAAAGGCGCCGTCACTTGAGCGCAGAGGCGCCGCCGCCGCTCTCTTGTTCCCGCAGCCGCGGCGCCCGCGGGTGGGGGCGGGGAGGGTGGGGGAGGGGCGATCTGGCCCCGGGGGGCGCCTGGGCGAGCCTGTTGGGGGAGCCTCCAGCCCATTCTGCAGAAGGGGAAGCTGAGACTCCCCGGACCAAGACGCCAGCCGGGGGTGGGGGCTGGCCGGGGCCTGCGATCCCAGGGAACCAGGTTCACTTGGCCCTACGCTTACACCCACGTGGCTACTGCTGTGCCTCGGGTCCCCCATCTGCGCCAGTGGGGGCCTGGCCCTGGTTCTGTGCGGGCTCTGGCTAGCGGCTGCCACTTTCTGTGCCTCAGCTTCCTCATCCGCCCAATGGGTGGAGAAAGGCACCTCCACTTTCCTGTTACTGGATCAGAATCAGCAGGTGCCTGCGCTGAGGCCTGAACCTGGCCCTGGGGGAGCCTGGACAGGGCTCTTGCTTTCGCTGGAAACAGTCACCTGGCTGAGGCTGGGGCGTGTGGGTTTCAGATGGAGGGAGTGTCCCTTCAGGGAGGCGGCCAGCGGGCAGGGTCCCATGGCTCCCCTGGGCCCGGCTGAGCTCCCCAGGGGAGCCAGGACTCAGGCTCCTCTCCCTGAGTCGCACCTGGGGTGTCCTCAGCCTCCTACAGTCCCCCAGCCCCCATCATGCCCCTATCAGCTGTCCAGCTGGGGACCCGCAGCTTCGGAGGAAAGCGCTGTCCCTCAGTGGGTTTGGAAGGCTCCGAATCCCAGGGCGTCAGGACGAAGCCCTCAGAGGGTGAGGAGGTGTGCTGGGCTTGTGGGGCGGAGATGGCGGAGGACAGAGGAAGGCAGGCTGTGCGCCTCGGCAGTGCCCGCTCTCAGTAGGGTTCCACGACCTATTCTCTAGTGAACCCCTCCCAAGGGGCACTGCATGCTCCCCGCCAGGCCCCCAGTGCTCCCAGAGGACCTGCCAAGGGAGGAGAGAGCCTCTGCAATTGTGGGGGGTTGGGTATGATTGATTTCAAATCACTTCCATCCTGGTACAGTCCCAAAAAGGAAAGAGGGGACCCCCTGAGGTGGGGACTGTACCTGAAGCTTTGAACGCTGTCAGTTCCACAGCCTGAGGACAGAGGGGCTGTCACGGGGGTGGCCCCCGCTCCTTCTGCCGCCCCTTGCCCTGGGGGCCCTTGGCTATAGGGGCCTCTGCCAGCTTGCGGCCAGCAGCTCCCCTCCCTGGACCCTTCAATCCAGGAACAGAGAAACAAATCCCGGGGAAGCCCCCACCACGGCCCTACCCCCAGCCCTGTGGCTTCCTGACCCTGCCGGCCGGCCTTGCCACCCCCTGGCAGAGCCCTGTGGGACCCACCCTATTGCAGCCTCACCTGTCTCTCCGGGTTTGCGATGGAGGAGAAGGCTGAGGGGTTTCTAGGGCCGTAGGTCCCTAATGGGGAAAACGCAAACTTTGGAGAGACACGAAAGCAGGAAGCCCTCTCTCGGCGCTTCCATCCAGGGAGTGGGACCTTTAGGATAAAAATCGCTGTGAATCTGCTCCAAGATTCACCCCACAGATTAGTAATGAGATTAGTAATGAGGCCCGTAGACGGAGGGGAACATGGCCAGGGCATACAGGGGGTACTGGGAGCTAGGATGGGAACCCCTGGCCTGGCCTTGAAGTCACTCAACCCATGCCCTGCTCGGAGTCTGACCCCATGTACTTACCACCTCCGGGAGTCCCCCAAACCTGTCTGCATGGAGCCCCAGGGAAGGTGACCTGGACAAGCCCCAAGCCTGGGCCAGGCCCCAGGAGCCCTGGTTTCCTAGCAGTGGGGAGCGAGTGACAGGACATTCCTCAAGTCCCAGGGCCCTGGTTTCCTTTTTTCAGATGGGCCAATAGGACCTTGTCCTCCCAGCTCGACCTGAATGCTGGGGAAACTGAGGCACTGGGCGGCTCTCCCACTGGGTGCTAAGAGTACCTCTGAGAGCCATGTGTCTCCGGGGTGGAGCCAAGGCCCTGGGGCTGCTTTGGTCTGCCTCCCAGGGACCTGGGGGCCTCAGGCTGGTTCCCCTGCTGGCAGGGCTGGCACGGGACTGAAAGGAGAGGGAGTGGGGGCTGGGACCTGGCCCTGGAGGCCTCCCACCCTCACCCATGCCCCCATTGCCCTGAGCAGCACAGCCACCTTCTTCTCAGCCATCCTCTGCAGGGCGCTCCGCACCTGGGGAAACACTTGGAGGTCAGTGGTCCCCAAGGCGGGACCCTCCCCACCCCTTGGACCCCGCTCCCTGCAGCTGGCGCCCCCAAACTCACCTCCTCATTGCAGGCACCATAGACCAGGAAGATGTACGGCCCCTGAGGACAGACCCAGGGAGTGGGGGACGCCTCAGCCGGGAGCCTGGCCCTGTCCCATCCCCCACAGCCTGGCCTTGCCTGGAGTTCTGGCGCACCCCCCCCCCCCCGCCAGAGACCCTTGCAGAGATGCCCAGAGACTGGCTGATGGGCATGAAGTCAGCCCTGCCCTGGTGCCCACCCTTGGAGGGGCAGCTGTGGCATTCAGCAGGATGGGACCAGGAGGGGCTTTGCCCCATGCAATGCCGGCCTTCAGCCTCTGTCCACGAGGGAGCCTCTCTGATGCCAGTCCTCCGTGCCCCACCAAGGGGTAGGGAGTGGGACCTAACCTCTAAGGCCCAGTCAGGTCAGGGGACAACAGCCCCATGAGTGCCTTCTCACTGTGCCTCTAGCTGAGTGGCCCTCACATCCCTGAGCTTCTGTCTCTTCTGGAAAGTGAAGGTGAGGCCGGGGATGCACATGATGGACTCACACAGTGGCTGGGGTGGAGTCAGCTCCCCCTCCCCACAACTGGGGTACCAAGAAGGCCTCACCACCCACCCGCACCATCACATTTGGGCTCTCACTTGACCCTCACAGCAGCTCGGTGGCAGGGGGTGGATTCATTCTCTCCATTTGATGGAGAGACCAGGAGGTGGGGGTGTTGGACAGAGCAATGGATCCCAAGCTCCAGTATGGCCCAGCAGATGACCCAGCCCTGAGGCCATCCTGGGATCCCCCCTGGGCAATGTCTCAGGCAGTCGCTCCTGTGCTGCGGCCCAGGCGGGGGCGGGGGGTTGGGGGGAAGCACAGGTGAGGGCCTGTGATTCCTTGGGGCCTTCCAGCCTCCCAGGGCTGAAAGCTGGAGCCCAAGAGCCTGGCTGGTCCTCCTGCTGCCCGGGCACCAACTAAGATGATACCACCACCCCCACTTTCCAAGACAGACCCCGAAGCCTCCCAGGCCCCCACCCGCAGCCTGTTCTTTCTCTGCAGCCTCTGCACTGCCTTCTTCATCCCATTTCCTTCTGCTTTCTCCTCACCATCCAAAGACATCTTTCCAAATGCCTACCTCAGAACACCAGCACCTGCCTGATCCCCTGCCTGGCTCCCAACTACCCGGGGACAAAATCTGAGCTCTGTGTGTGTGTGGGGGGGGGGGGGTGGGGGGGGCTTTTTTTTAGACAGAGTTTTCACTCATGTTGCCCAGGCTGGATAGCTGGGATTACAGGCATTTGCCACCATGCCTGGCTGATTTTGTATTTTTAGTAGAGATGGGGTTTCTCCATGTTTATCAGGCTGATCTCGAACTCCTGACCTCAGGTGAGCTGCCTGCCTTGGCCTCCCAAAGTGCTGGGGTTACTGGCATGAGCCACTGCACCCGCTGTCTGAGCTCTTTGCAACAGCTTTGTGGACCCCACATTGTCTGCACCGCCCCCCGACTCCCTTCTGGCCCATTTCTCACCAGCCTTACCCCTCATATCTCTCCACCATTGGACCCCACCATGCCCCCTCCGCCCCAGCTTAAAACATTCTCTGGCCGGGCGCGGTGGCTCAAGCCTGTAATCCCAGCACTTTGGGAGGCCGAGGCGGGTGGATCACGAGGTCGAGAGATCGAGACCATCCTGGTCAACATGGTGAAACCCCGTCTCTACTAAAAATACAAAAAATTAGCTGGGCATGGTGGTACGTGCCTGTAATCCCAGCTACTCAGGAGGCTGAGGCAGGAGAATTGCCTGAACCCAGGAGGTGGAGGTTGCGGTGAGCCGAGATCGCGCCATTGCACTCCAGCCTGGGTAACAAGAGCGAAACTCCGTCTCAAAAAAAAAACAAAACAAAACAAAAAACCAAACATTCTCTGAGAGTGACCCCCTCCAGGAGGCCCATGCTGCCTCTGCTGAGCTGCTCCTCTGTCCCCACACTGCCTTGGGAGTCCCTTGGCTCTCGGCCTCAGCCATGACACACTGTGGTTTTGATGTCTGTCTCTCCCTCAGGCAGAGAATGTCACAGAATTCTTTGATCCTGGGCACCTCCATGTCCCCCAGCGTGCAGGCCAGCCCTGGCCAGGGAGGTGCTGGGGAGGTGCATGTTGAACAACTGAACAAATGAGTTCACCCTTGTGGGCTCCTGGCACGTGCCAGGGATTGTGTGTAGCCTTGGCAAATGTTATGTCAGCTGAACCCCACGACAAACCCACGAGGCAGGTGGGAGTCTAATCCCCTTCATGGAGATGTAGAAACTGAGGCCTGGTGCCACTTGTCCAAACCTTACAACAAGGTTCAGTCCACCAGGGTAAGTGTGAGCTACAGCTGATTATAGAAGGACACAAATTACTTCCGGAGAGTGAATGAGGTTGGACACCTACCTTTTGGCCCTGAGAGGGACCTGCACTGGGAAAACAGGGGGCATGGGGTGCAGGTGATGGGACTGTGCCTGGGGGGGATGGTCCAGGGAGGTTGAGGGAAAGGGAGGGGCTGGGAAGGGCCTCGGGGGGTCTCCCTGAGTCCCAGCACCCAGCGCCCCAGCTGTCGCTTCAGTTAATGTTCTGGTCCCCCACAGACCTGCCAGAGGGACTTAGCGGCCCCCTCCCGGTGGTTCCAGAACACAGGCCGCGAGTGGCCGCAGAGCCCAGGCCCTTCCTAACGCGGGTCGAGCACCCGCCTTCTCAGCAAATCCTCTTCTAAACTGCCATCCCAGCAGGCTGAAGACCCCAAAGGGAGGTGACCGATGCCCTGTGCCTCCCCAGCCTCCTGGCAAGAACCGAGTGGCTCTGGCATCAGCCTAGAGGCTGGAATTTCTGCTGGACTCTGAGTGTCCAAGCGCACTCTTTCTGGGCCTCAGCCTCGCCAGCTGGCAGAGGGGCCCTAAAAGCTGGTTGATTGGAGGCTACCTGTTCCCACTCCCACCCTCAAAACCTCTTCTTTGATAGAATGTCCCAGTTGTTGTTGAATGCCTCCCAGGATGGCGAGCTCACCCCTCCCCAGGCCCTGGCACACCTGTCATCCCCTCTCAGCTTCCATGCGCATCAGGGCCTCGTCCCAGAAGGTTGGGGCGTGGAGGTACCTGGACGGAGTTGAGGCCCACGGCAGCGTAGGCCCAGGCGGGGCTCAGGTGCACCAGGATGCCAACCAGCCAGGTCAGGCCCAGGACGGGCAGCAGGACCAGCACAGGCTTCACTGTGGCCCTGTAGGAGGTCAGACAGGGCTGATGGGGGTTGGGGGGCCTAGGGCGCTCCCTGCAGGGTTCCAGGGAGAGCAGCACCTGTAAATGACTAGAGAGGGGCAGGAGCTGAGGGCCGGAACCACTGGCTCAGCAGGACCTGAGGGGCACCATGGCTCAGCAGGACTGAGGGGGAGCCAGGACCTGTGACTGGACTGGACTTTGTTGCCCCCTCCTCAAAGACAGAGGTGGCATGAAGTAGGGTAGTGGCACTTGGGAGATGGGGTCCCAGCTCCCAACTTGGTTGGAAGGAATGGGGTGGCAGCTGTCCAGAGTGGGGACTGAGGCCTGAACAGTAGGACCAGCAGGAATGGGGTCAGAAAGACTCCCTTCTTCCTCTCTAAGGGCCGTGGGGTTCCCTGGCTTTTTGGGGATCCCCCAGCTTGGGCTGCCCTATACTTGGTGGAGGATGGGTGGGGAAAAGAAAGGCCAGCAAGGAGGCAGGGCTGGGGAAGAAGGCGGGTGGGATCCCCCTCTCCGAGCGTGACCCCAGAGGGCAATGGGGGTCTTTGGCAGGAACAAGGACCCAGAGCCTCTCACCCTGAACCTGAACTTCTGGGGGTAACCTGAATGGAGCATCTCCCCTACTTTATCCCCTGCAGGCCATCAGTACCTTCTGCAGAGAGTGCACCCTGAACAGTGGCTGGTGTCCACACCCCTCACATGGATCAGTGACCATCCCCACATGTGACACGCAGGGGTGCATGTTGACACATGTTGACATGCCCACGTGTGTGTGAAACAGACACAGGGACTTGAGTATACCCACATAATACGGACTCGGGCACGGCCACTTGGCCACGCTCTGGACACAGAGTTGCACGCGCTCTCACCCAGTGAGCCTCCTGCCTGGCGCCAGCACTCCTTGCTTCCTCTTGTCCTCCCATTCCAGGCCCTCACCATATCTGGGTCCGGATCTGCTGCTGCAGGCAGGGCTGTGGGCTCAACATGCGGGCACGGTGGCGGGCGCTGGACACGGTGACCATCACCACACGGGCCAGGATGCAGGTGTTGGCCTGGAGACCTGGGGTCAGTGGGCGAGGGGACTTCCCCGTCCCCAACATGTCCCTCCCCTGCAGGTCCCCAGCTCACAGTCAGCACGAAGAGCACAGGCCCCACGAAGGCCCAGATGGTGTCTGTGTGCACACTGAGCCAGCAGTGTCCAGGGGCCACATAGTCATGAGGGCGTGTGGCCAGGGTGGCCGCCACGATGCCCACAGGCACGCCTAGGGAGGGAGACGGGGCCTCAGGGCCAGGTCACCTGCTCTTTCCTCTCCAGGACCCAGTACCCCCCCTGCAAGCTGTAGCTGTCCCGTATTGGAGGTTGTACTGGGGACACTGGGGAGGCCCAAGGAGCAGAGCTGGGGACTCTGATACTGTTGGGGTGGCACTGGGGCCACAGTAGTTTGGCAGTTGGGAGAGCTGAGGCTGCTTTGGAGGCCATGGCTGGGCATCTCCAGAGGCGGAGGCTGGGCAACTGGCTGGCCACAGATTCGTGGAGACAGCAGTGGGGATGGGGAGGAAGGCCGTGAGGTGGAGGAGGAGGATGAGGAACGGGGTTGGGTAAATTGAAAGTTAATAGAACTGGGGAATTGAGGTCATGTCAGAGATGGGGCTGGGTGGTGCTGGGTGCTGGGTGATGCTAAGTGCTGGATGCTGACTGCTGGGTGCTGAGTGCTGGGCGAGAGCCATGTTAGATGGCAGGGTCTGGGGTTCAAGGTACAGCACAGAGCAGGCCTCACCCCAGCCGGTAGCGTGGTAGAGCCACATGCGTGGGCCAGGGCGCATGCTCACGGCCACCACCTTGCTCCACAGCAGCAGCCCCTCCACCAGCATCCAGGAGAACGCCACCAGGAAGAGGAAGTGCATGGCAATGGTGACAGCCACACACGCCACCTGTGGGAGGGCAGGGGGTCCCCACAGAGGTCCGAGGTCAGCTGCAGGTGCAGGCCGGCTCTGGGGCCCCATGCCCAGCCTGGCCTTGCCAACCCAAAGAAGTGCCAGTGGGTAAGGCCTCTGGGCAGCCGCCTGTGCCCTGCCCACCATTTAGGGTCTTTCTTCCCTGGGTCCTGCTCCTCCCCAGGGAAATGAAGCCATGTGAAAATGTCGGGGGGTGGGGGGTCACCCTAGAAAAGCCCGCAGGCACTTCCCCAGGCCTCCCCCACTCTCAGCCCACCCACCGGCTGCCCACCTCATTACCCCTGGCCCACTCGCTGGCCATGAGGAAGCTCTCGGCAGAGGCCAGGGAGAAGGTGAGGTTCTTGTGCACTGTGGTTCGCTCCGACTTGGGGACCCTGGAGGGGCAGAGGAGTCAGTTAACAAGGACACCACTGCCAATCCTCACACCCTGTAGGGCCCTGCCCCGCCTGGTCCCCTGCCTGGGCAGATGGAGAGAAAGAGGGCAGCTCTGCGGGGCTCAGCACATCCTAAGGAGAGGCTCAGACCGAGGCTCTCTGGGGCCAAGGATGGACACCCGACTGATGGAGACATGGAGGCCTGTGCGGGGCGGGGAGGGCCCGGGCCACCAGGTCACAGTGGTGCGTTCTCCTCACCCGGCCGCCAGGAAGAGCAGGAAGGTGGTGGTGAGAGCGCAGAAGGACACGCCACAGCCCACAAACGAGAGGGTCCTCAGCAGCGACTCCTCCTCGGGGCCTCTCTGTGTGGAGGGACAGAGAAACCTCCCGGCACCACCCAGATCGCCCCGCCTGGTGACTCTAAGGCCCCCCACGCCGCATTCGCCTGGAAGCAGGGCCCGGGCCTGCTCGCAGTAGGCATTTAATAAGCAGGCATGGGCGCGTCCTTCTCTCCCTAGACTGACCCCAAATGACCCGTATTCCACTGATCGGACAGCTACTCAGAGCACTGACAGACATGGCCGCAGGGAGGGATGGGGTTTCCACGTTGCCCAGGCTGGTCTTGAACTCCTGGGCTCAAGGCCCCCCACAGTGCTGGGACAACAGGCATAAGCCACTGTGCCCAGCCCTGTCCCAGACAGTCTATGAAAGCTGGCATCCCTCAGAGGCTTTTTTTTTTTTTTTTTTTTTTTTTTGAGATGGAGTCTCACTGTGTTGCCCAGACTGGAGTACAGTGGCATGATCTCGGCTCCCTGCAACCTCCGTCTCCCGGGTTCAAGCAATTCCCTGCCTCAGTGTCCCGAGTAGCTGGGATTACAGGCGCCCACCACCATGCCTAGCTAATTTTTATATTTTTAGTAGAGACGGGGTTTCATCATCTTGGCCAGGCTGGTCTTGAGCTCCGAACCTCGTGATCTACCCACCTCAGCTTCCCAAAGGGCTGGGATTATAGGCATGAACCACTGTGTCCAGCCAAAGACCTCTTCTTACTACCTGTTGGCTCTTCACCTTCGGCTGAGAACCCCCTCCTGACGCCCCTCCCGCCCGCACTCACCTGTACATCATAGACCTGCAGCAGGATCGCAAAGCTGGTGCTGTGGTTGCAGAAGCAGGCGGTGGAGTCCCGGTACAGCGCAGCCACGGAGCAGCCCATGGTGGCCCAGGCACCCCCTGTATATGGGCTTGGGGGATGGGGAGGGAACAGAGGGCTTTTGAGATAAGGTGGACAAGAGGGTGAGGGGGCCAGGGGCGAGCAGGGGCCAGTCACTGCCCTGCCTCTAAGCAGCTACGTGACCTTGGCGAGTCACCGCCCCTTCCTGGGCCCCAGTTTTTCACCTGTAAAATGTGCTTGACATTCTTAGGATGGCAGGAGGGCCGGGCTGATACCAGTGATTGCCATTTATCAACTTCATTAATTACTGAGCCCCTGGGACCAAGGTTCCCTATCTCAGCTAAAGATCTAAGGCTGGGAGCCAGGCTAACCCCTGGAGCCTGCTCTGCTCCGTCAAGAGCCCTGGGGCCCTGGCCTCAGATAGATCAAGTTCAATACCCATTTGACAAGATGAGTCTCTTCCAAGGCACTTCACAGAGTGAGTGCCTCCTCCTTCACATATCTCCTGTGACAGGGAGCTCACTAGCCCCTGGGTGATACATCCTCCTGCCCCAGCTTGTCCTGGAGCAGGGAGGAGCCTGGAGTCACCCCCAAAAGGCGAAGGCCAAAACCAAAACCATGCGTCCCGCCTCATCCCCAAGCAGAGTCGATGTCTTTTTCACGCAAATTCGTGAAGCGTTCCATATTTTTTGTTCTTAAAAAAAAAAAAAAAAAAAAAAAAAAAAAATTGTCTTAGAGGCCAGGCTCTGTGGCTCACACCTGTAATCCCAGCAGTTTGGGAGGCTGAGGCGGGTGGATCACCTGAGGTCAGGAGTTTGAGGCCAGACTGGCCATCATGGCAAAACCTGGTCTCTACTAAAAATGCAAAAATAGTCGGGGGTGGTGGTGCCTGCCTGTAATCCCAGCTACGAAGAAGGTTGAGGCAGGAGAATCACTTGAACCCAGGAGGTGGAGGTTGTAGTGTGCTAATATTGTGCTACTGCACTCCAGCCTGGTTAAAGAACCTGCAAATGGAAACTCACCTGATACTGAAGTTCCAGAAAGCACAGACAGGCTCCACCAGCTTCTGACGGAAGGCCTGGGGGCAGGAGACAGGGACAGGCCCGGCGCATGAGCATAGATTGGGGGGCACAGGGTAGGTGTGAGTGTGAATGGGCAAGGAGAGAGATCAGGAGGAGGTAGGGATACTGGAGACTCTGGGTTTGAGGGACCGGGGGGTTGCCCACCATGCGTCATGGTGAAAGGGCAGAGCGGAGGCAGAGGGAGGAGAGGAGTGCAGACCCTCATTCCAGCATGATAAGCAAGGTGGAAAACTGAGAAGGAGCTGAGCAGCCGTCATATCACCGAGGAGCGGCTAAGGAACTGCCCGTCTCCCCTCCTTGCACACAGGCTGCTGGCTACTGATAGGGAGAGATTTTTTTTTTTTTTTTTTTTTTTTTTTTTTTTTTTTTTTTTTTTTTTTTTTAGATGGAGTTTCACTCTTGTTACCCAGGCTGGACTGCAATGGTGTGATCTCCGCTCACCATAACCTCCGCCTCCTGGGTTCAGGCAATTCTCCTGCCTCAGCCTCCTGAGTAGCTGGGATTACAGGCACGCACCACCATGCCCAGCTAATTTTTTGTATTTTTAGTAGAGACAGGGTTTCACTGTGTTGACCAGGATGGTCTTCATCTCTTGACCTTGTGATCCACCTGCCTCGGCCTCCCAAAGTGCTGGGATTACAGGCGTGAGCCACGGCGCCCGGCCTTATGGAGAGATTTTTGAGATGGAGTCTCGTTCTGTTGCCCAGACTGGAGTACAATGGTGTGATCTCGGCTCACTGCAACCTCCGCCTCCCGGGTTCAAGCGATTCTCCTGCCTCAGCCTCCTGAGTAGCTGGGACCACAGGCGTGTGCCACCATGCCCAGCTAATTTTTGTATTTTTAATAGAGATGGGGTTTCACTGTGCTGGTCAGGATGGTCTCGATCTCTTTGCAGCTGGAGGATTAAATGAATGCTGTGTATCTGTGGGCCCTGCCATAAGGTGACCCTGCAGTCAGTCGCTTCTCTCTCCATTCCCTTGAGGGCAATGGAGGTGCCTCGCAGGTATATTCTGCGTGCATTATTAGTCCTTGGTTGTCCAATGAATACATATTGAGGGTTGGGGGAACTGAGCCAGGATAAGTGCACCAGGATGCCGGCTTCCCAGAAGCGCCACCCAGTACCTGGGCCTGGTGTTGCAGATGAAAGTTCACGGCCATGCTGACCTCTCCAGTTTCGTCCCACACTTCAGAGGAGATGATGGCTGACCCCACCTGGGTGCTTAGGAACCTGTGGGAAGAATGAGAGCTTTCAAGGTTGGCTGTGGAGGAGGGATGGTGCCTGGCTGGGGCGTGTCACCCAGGTCCCTATGGTGGAGGAGGCAGCCTCTGTGTCCAAAGAGATAGCAGGAATTATGGCACCTGGTTCAGTCTTGCCTTAGGGACTTGCTGGTAACTTGGGTAAGTCCCAACATGGAAGCCAGAACCCCAAACAAGAGTTTTATGTTCACCTCTGGCAGGTGTAGAAGTGTGTGGCCCTCCCTGGGAAGGGGACTCAGGCCCTCACAGCCCTCCAGGTGGTACCTACTCACCTCTGCACCCTGTTTGCCTCCTCTGAGCTGGCAGGGGCCTGGGGCTCTGGGCCCAGCCCCCACAGGGTCTGCTGGAAGACTCTGGAGGTGAACCAGCTATGAATCACGGTGACTCCAGAGAGGCCTGGCTGAGTGGAAGGGGCATCAAGGCAACACCCGGTGGCTGGGCAAGTACCACCAGTTGGCCCTGAGGATGATGCTCTCCCCACTCTACAGATAGGGAAACTGAGGCTCAGAGAGGTTAAATGACTTCCCTAAGATCACATATCTAAGACGTGGCAGAGCCTAAATTCCACCAGCTACAGTCCAGGTGCTTAACCTCACAACTCCAAGTCCCTTTGCCCCTTGCCCGATCCCCCACCCCTGCATGGCATCATGCGGAGGGGTCTCCCCCCACCACCCACTCTTGAGGGTGTGTGGTTCAGTGGAGGAGACTAAGTGAACACCACTATGCGGTGGGTGCTTTTAACCTCATAAGCCACAAGGCAAATAGCAATGTGCCCATCTTACAGACGAGGAAACTGAGGCTCTGAAAGATGAGCAGCACAGCTGGCAATGGTTAGAGCTGAGGTTTGACCCAGAACCCAGCAGGGCTCTGGCCACCCCCTCATCCTCACCCACCTTTCCGAAGGAGTCGCCTCATTTCACCCGCAGGAATGTGGATGTGGCCGGGGCCTTCGGGACGTCCACCAGGCATCGTAAATAAGCAGCCGCTCCTGCTGGCCTCCTTCAACCGTAAGCTCCGCACCTCCAGGCCTGGGGATAAATGAGGCTGGGTGGCTGGACCTCGGACGGAGGTCTTTCTGGAGGCCCAGGAGGCCACCATTCCTGCTCGGAGAGTTGCAGCAACTTGCCCAAAGCAAATCTGACTTTTTCAAATCTAGGGGAAGGGCGCCACTGAGAAAGAGGGGGGTCACCAAGAGGCAGGACGCAAATACCGATGAGTCAACAGAAACGTGGATGCCTGAGGGACACGGGTTTGTACCTGAAGCTCCACCACAGATGCACCCCCACTCAGGCTATAAACAGTCGAGGAGCGTGCACTTGGGCTTGGCCTGGAGATTAGAGACGGCTCAGAAACAGCCCTACCGCTCAGGGAGGGTCCCGTGGAGGGAGACCTCCCATTATGTGATTACCAGAAGTGCAAGGAAAGACACCTTCAAGGTTCTGGGGTAACAGAGGCAGGAGGAACTATCTCTTAGAGGAGGAGAGAGCTAAAACAGAAAGGCTTCCTAGAGGGAGTGTTGCCCACACAGGGTTCTGAAGGAGGTATAAGCGTTTGTTGGGAGATCAAGGGAGAGAGGGCATCCTGGATGCAGGGCACAGCATGCGCAAAGGCAGCAACCAGAATGAAGTGTCTGTGGAGGCACAGACAGCTGTCACCAGGGCTGAGGAAAGAGGGCGGAGTCCAGCCGTGTGGGCCGGTGGGTGCAGGCTCACCAGCATGGCGGTGCTGGATGCTCATTCGGGGCCGCTCTGAGGTCATCATGGTGCTCAGCAGCGGTGCCAGCTGCTGCACACTCGCCACCAGGGCCATAGGCCCGCCAACCACCTGTGAGGACGCGGCATCTCAGCTCCCTGTCACACTCTGCACCCCACTGCCGCCTGCCCAGAGCGCTGGGGAAAAATGCTCCATGATCTGGGAGGTGGTCCCGCCCTCGCCAGACCCTCCGTGGCTCTTTAGGGCCTCCAGGATCAAGTCCTGGGTCCTCAGATTGACATTTGAAGCCCTGCCTGCCCCAGCCTCCTTCAGCCAGTCAATTCTGTCTCCCAGCCACCCCATCCTCCAGTCAAACCTTCGAGCGCTCTGTGCCTGCTGGCCTGTTTGCCAACTACAGCACATTCTGAAGGCTGGGCCATGCCTCTGCCTTCACTGTGGCTCAGTGCTAGACCTATAATGGGTGTGCAACACTGCGATTCCAAAAGGAAAGCCATGGGGATGTGGGTAGCGGGAGCAAGGAGGGAGGAGAGGAACATGCATTTATGGGGCGCCTACTCTGTGCTGGGCAAGTCACACTGTTCATCCCTTAATGCCTCTCCATTGCCTTAGCAAGGGCGGTGTGATCATCCCCATTCCCCAGGGGAGAAAACTGAACTTCAGTCTAGCTTTCCCCAGTCTACCGAAGTGCCTTGGAGCCCTAATCAACTGTGGGCTTGCACACTTCCCAGGATGGGGAGCTCATTACCTGTGGTGCACCATTCCACAGAACCAGCTGCCTGTGTTATGCTGTCTTTCCCCTACCCCCATGTCTTAGTCCCAGTTCTGTCCTCTGAGGCTCACGGGGGGCCATGTTTGCTCCCTCAGCCCCAGAGAATTTGCAGGCACTGTTCATGATTCTTGTTCCTTCCCTGCTCTGGGTTGATCACTCCCAGGCTGACAGCCACTTCTGCCAGAACGAAGTTTCCAACAGCCTCTGCATCTGGATAGGACCTCTAATGTTGTCCAGAGTGTCTCGGCTGTTTAGGCAGACAAGGTGGACCATCCACTTGGCATAGCTGCCCCACTTAAGGTGGTTAGCAGATTCTTGGAGGTGGGGGAGGCTCTTACTGACTGGCGGCTCTTCACCACTTCATTTAGCTGCAGAAGCTTTTGTTCAAGTGCAGTTGTTTTTTGGTTTTGGTTTTGTTTTGTTTTTTGAGACAGTCTCATTCTGTCACCCAGGCTGGAACACAGTGGTGCAATCTTGGCTCACTGCAACCTCTGCCTCCCGGGTTTAAGTGATTCTCCTGCCTCAGCATCCCAGGTAGCTGGGATTACAGGCACCTGCTACAACACCTGGCTAATTTTTGTATTTTTAGTAAAGACAGGCTTTCACCATGTTGGCCAGGCTGGTCTTGAACTCCTGACTTCAAGTGAACCACCTGCCTTGGCTTCCCAAAGTACTGGGATTACAGGCAGGAGCCACCACGCCTGGCCTTAAGGGCAGTTGTTTGTGGAAGTTCAACTTATCAAATAGACAAAAGAGAAGCTTCTCCTGATGGGTGCAGAGATGGAGCCTGGAGCTGGGTGCTGACTCTCCTATGGCTACACAACCAGCTGGTGGCTAGGCTGGAACTACAGCCCAAGTCCCTGCCCCACCCAGCCCTGCCAGCCTCACCTCATGGATGGACAGCCATGCGTCAGCCACCTGCTCCTCCAGGACCAGGCTGGCCACGGATACAACGCCCTGGCCCAGCTGCTCCCACGGCCCTGACAGCAACAGCTCCGGCTCCCCAGCCCCGATGGCCACCACCCTCTTCAGGAAGCACACAACAGCCAGCAGTGCGGCTGGCCCCAGAGAAGACACCTCCATTGCCAGGACATGCTCCAGAAGGCCCAGGAAGCTGGAGGCCTCTGCCGGGGACAGGGCCCCACGCGCTTCAGAGAGGGGGTCTGGAAAGAGCTGTGGACAGAGGAGCCACTGAATCTGGGTCTCGTTGTCATGAGGGGATCCCCACAGGGGCCACACTTGGGCTCTGCCAGGGTCTTCTAAGTGGGAACCCATCAAACTTATCACAAGCCCCCAACTCTCAGGGGATACAGAATAGGGAGCCTGAATGGCCTCAATTCCTGCAGACACACCAGGGGTGTGTCCCCTTTACAGGGGAGGAAACTGAGGTACAGCAAGGTGACCCACGAAGCCCCCAGGCTCTCCAGCCCCTGTAAGGGAGCTCACCACAATGTCATTGGCCAAGGCATTGACCCGGCTGATAACATCCTGGCCAGGCCACGATTGGGCATCCTGCAGCCGCCGATAGGTCTCTGCAGAGGAGGGGATGCCAGGCTGGACCCCAGGCAATGCCTCTGCCCAGAGGTGGCCAGCCTGCTAAGGGACCTCCACCCACCACGTGCTGCCCAGGGGAAGAAGAGCACCTTGATGGTTGTGTGTCCAGAGTCTTACACACAGTGTTCTTGATGGGGAAACTGAGGCACAGAATGGCCAAAGAGCTTGCCCAAGGTCACACAATTGGGATTCACCCTCAGGTCTGTCTAGACCCACTGCTCTGTAGGCTAGACTCCATGGAGACCTTGAAAGCTTTGGGAAGACTCTGAATTCCCAGACTTTGTCAATAGTTCACTCCCTTCTCAATCTACTCCGTTCCACACCTGCTTCCCCTTCAGCAGAGCCCAGGGCCACAGCCAGGGCGCACCTGTCCGGTAGCAGCAGAGGAAGGGCTGCGGCTCCAGGCAGAGCTCCGAGCCCTCAGTGCGAGGTCCCGGATTCCATGTGGGGCACTCCTCGGAGGGCACTGACAGGGCCCGGGGAGGTGTCAGTGTTCCCTAGGAGTTCTGCGCACCCTGGCGAGCCAGGACGCACTGCCCGGGGGTTAGGGGACAATGTGAGACCTGAGAGAGGGACACCGTGGCCGGCACGGGGTTGGGGTAAGGCGGCCAGGGCACGAGCGTAGAGCCCCAGGCTGCTGGGAACAAGCTGATGCTGGAACTCGCAGGCCAGCTGGCCGGGAGAGGGCGTGGCCAGAGCTGGGCGTGGCTTGGTTGGCAAGGGGGTGGGTCGAGTCCCAGGGACTGAAGGGAAGGATTCACGGCCGTGGGGTGGGGCCGAGGCGGGGCGGCCCGTACCGGGACAGAGCAGGCGCACCCACACCGTGGGCAGCAGCGAGGGCGCGACGTCCAGAGCGCCCGGGTCCCAGCGGAAGAGCAGGCCCTCGTGGGGCGGCGCGCAGGTCCGTGCCCGGTGCAGTTGCGCGGGGCTCAGCGCCCGCGCCCACAGATGGAAATCAGTGAGGTTGCCGCTGAAGGCGTCACGCGCCGAGAAGCCGCCGCCCAGAGAGTCCTGATCCTGGCCCAGCACCAGGATGCCGCCAGACGGCACCGGGTGGCCCGCGCCTAGACCCCGCGCCCCAGCGCGCCGCCTCCCGTCGGAGAACAGCGCCCAGCGCCCGCCCCGCTGCTCCCACGTGGCGCACACATGGTGCCAGCGGCCGTCGGCGCGGAAGGCGGCGAGGAAGGGCCCGTGGTGCCCACGCACCACCAGCGCAGCGCGCACCACGCCCCCCGGCTCGGCGAAGGCGCGCAGCTGCAGCGCGTTGGGCAGCGCTGGTGCGGCAACGGAGAAGAGAGTGGCGGCGTCAGGCGAGGCACAGTCCCACTGCAGGTGAGCACACGCAGTCAGCGCCGCCAACTCGGGCAGGGGGCTCCGCAGCCGCGCCGCCCGGTCAGCTGTCCTCTCGCCGAACACCAGCGCGGGGGTGGTGTGCATACCTGCGGGGACACGTGGGCCGCGACCTCAGTTTTCTCACCTGTGTTGTGTATACGGTCCTGCTCCTGCCTCCGCAAGGGTGGGGCCCCTCCAGGCTTTGGGGTGCCTCCCAGCCTCAGGAAGGAGGAAATGAGGGCTAGCATTCTGCTGCCCAGGAGTCAGGCCGGGATGTCCAGTCCAGGGCAAGGGAAGCCGGAGATGTAAGCGTCTTATTCCTGGCTCATTCTGCAAGTGTGGTCACTGTGGGCTGTCATCTCTGAAGGTCACCAGAGCCTCTGCCCCTTGCTCCCATTTCCCAGGGGCCCACACTTACGCCTCTGTGGGGGTCTCCGCAGAGGGGCCTCTCTTTGGCCCATCCAGACTGGGTCGCGCAGCCGTGAAACAAGAACCCCATCAGGGGGCTGCAGTGCCAGGTGGCCAAACTGCTGCTCGCAGGACTCTTGGGCCTGCCACCAGCTCAGCCGCTGTGCAGAGAACTTGCACACCCCACCTGCAGTCTCTGCCACCTCGCCGGGGGCCACGGGGGCTGAAAATGATAGGAGAGACAGTGCGGGGTGCATTTTGTGGCCATCTGACCCTTCCAGGGCTGGGTGGAGCTAAGGACACTGGGTTTGGAGTCATTCAGGCCTGGATGGGGCTGAACTCTGGCCGTGTCTGGCCGGCTGAGTCCTGTCCTCTTGCAGAGTTTGTTCCATCATCTGCACAATCGCAGGAATGAGATGGAGACCGGTGAAGCTTTCCTTGCAGGGCCTGGTCTGGTGGGTGTGGAACCAAGTGTCTTTCTTCCCTTCCTTTGCATCCTAGGCTGGTGTACCCCCGGGACCACAGACTTGCTTAGCTGGGGGACAGGAACCCTCCCTGGGGGATCCCTCATACCAACCTGGGGCCCAAAGGCTCCTTGATTTACCTGGGGAATTGGAAGGGGTCCCCGAGAGACTCCTGATCTGGGAGAGAAGAAAACAGGCAGAGGTTGGGGCTGCCCTCCCCCACACTTGCAGTTATTGAATGCCTACTCTGGGGGTGGCTGGGAGAGGGGGATTCAGTGGAAGCTGCAGGCTCTGCAGCCAGACCTGGATTCAAATCCCACCACCCAGAGTGTGATCTTGGGAGGTCCCTTCGCAGCCCTGAGCCTTTTCCCTGGGTGAGGAGTAAACAGGCTGATGAGTAAGCGGGGTTGCCCTTAGGGAGGGCTTTTATTCCATCTGTGCTGGGGCTCGTCTTGTGTGACCTTTGCGGTGACCTCATGAGGTGGGATGGCCACTCGGAACCTTCCAAGCTGTGAGTCCCCTTGACCTCCTCCCTGGCACTGCCCTCCCAGAAGTGTAGGTACCAGAAGGCAGAGGAGACAGTAGCACCACGGGGCCATCTTGGATCCAGCAGAGCAGGTGACAGACAGCAGGGGTCACAGGCGGGCCAGCATGGACTAAGGAAAAAAACAAAGCAAGAGGAAAGCAGCTCGGAGTCCTGCCTCGCTTCCCCCTTGGACTTCTGCAGGGTCCCTTTGCCCTTTATTTGGCTCCCAGACCCCACTGAGCTGGGAGCCAACCAGTGGGCTGGGAGCCCAGGATGGGGTGGCTCACCCACTGGGGACGACATTTACTTGCACAAAAGATGGTCTCCAGGAGCCCCTTCAGTACTGAAGCAGGGAAACACTGTCTCCCTGGAGAGCTGGGAGAGGGGGAGGCAGCAGCAGGCGCTGGCCAGAGAGGGGCAAAACAGAGCTCAGGGTCCCTGTGGGGGATGGGGGAACCTCAGGGCTAGGTGGGCTTCTCTGTGTTCTTTGGGGTTCTCTGCTCGGCATTCAAAGCTCTGCTTGGTCAGGCCTCTGCTGAGTTCCCTAGCCTCAGCTGTCCACTGCCCCTCGATGCAGCCACCTTTCCCCTGCTCCCCAAGATGCGTCCCTTTCTGAGTCTCCCTTCTCCGGACCTGTGATCATGCCATCCCTTCTGCCTGGACTGGCCTCCCCGTCTCTCAGTGGCACCTCCTCCAGGTTCCGCTTGCAGTCCCTTCAGCCATCCAGCACTGCTGGTGGGTGTGCCACAGCCAGGCGCTGTGGTCAGCGGGGATACGTTAACCCTGGTGATTTGGGGGTCACTCCCGGCAACCTGGGGGGGCTCTGCAGGCAGGGAAGAGCCTCATGGGTCTCTGCTCCAGCCCTGGCATTACGCAAAATGTGCCTCAGAAACGGTGTCCCGCCACCCGGCCTCCTGCCACCTGGTGATGGCGCCTGAGCCATCACCAGTGATCATTGACCCCTTTTCCCTCTTCCAGACAGCACGAAAATCCTCCCCTCACCAGAGAATGCGATGGCTCCCGCATTTTGGACTCTGAGAAGCACTCCCTCGTTCACCTCTGCCTGCATTCGCGCCCTCAAGCCCCTTGGCACCCACTTTTCTTGCTCACCAACTCGTTGAGGTCCGAGAGAGAGATGCGAAGTTTGTCCGCCACTGCGCGTCCCTCTTCCGCGAGGCGCCAAGGCCTGAGTCAGGGGCCTCCCCTTCACCCGCTGGTCCCTCCCCTGTTCCCAGCTCCAGTTCCTCAGCCGCTTTGCCTGGCCCGGCGCCTGTCTGCGAGGCGTCTGCGGGAACTGAAGTCGGGGAGGCGGAGGCGGGCCCTGGGTGGTGCACGGGGCGGTGCTAGGAGACCCCGCCCCTCGGCCACAGGTGATTCCCTCCCCCTGGCCACGCCCCTTTCAACTCCCCTCCCCGCTCTCTTGGGCCCCTGACCTGGCTCGGCCAGAGACTTACCTGCCTCCTGGGGTGGGTGGGAGGAAAGCTTCAGGCACTCGCCCCGGGCCTGTTGTCACTTCTCCCCCAAACACAGGGGTTCAAGTCACCTGATTAGAAGGGGCCACTTGTGAGGCTTGGATCCAAACCAAACTAGTGGAAGATGGTTGGGGAGGAGGGAGCACTCAGTGCCTGGCCTAACCTGCCCTGAGCGGGCTCCCTACAGGATGCTTCTCCTGTACCTTCCACCTGCTGCGAGAAAGGGCTGGGGAAGGGCGCACCCATTTTCCAGAGAAGAACTGAGGGCTCTCACCCCTGGTTAGGCCAGTGGCTGAACTGGGCCTTGAACCTGGCTCTCTGGATCTTCATCCAGGCCATTCTAAAGGTACTGCAGGGAGGGCAGGGAGAGCCTGTCTGGGGAAGGGAATAGGGGTAGAGCCAGGGCAAGGGCTGCAGAGGGAGGCTGAGGGGGTGGGGGGATGCAGAGGCAAAGATCCCCCATGGACGTATGGAGTAGGGACCAGGGGGCATACCTCCCTGGCCTCAGTAGCAGGGACTCCTGGGTTAAACTGAATGACCTCAGGGCCAGACTTTGCGGGCAGATAGATCCATCCAGGTTCATCCAAGTTCATGATGACTCTGACCTAAGGCATGGCACCTCATTTCTTCTCCAAGCCACAGTTTCCCCATCGGTAATGTGTGTATGATAAATAGTGCATAATTCATGGAGTTGCTGTGAGATTTAAGTTACTTGGACTTAACATGTATCAAGCCCGTAGCTAGTACATGGTGCCTGGCACACAGTCCATTTGCATTCTTGTCAAAAACATATTTAAAAGGTAGCTTGCCAGGCCGGGTGCAATGTCACATGCCTGTAGTCATAGCACTTTGGGAGGCCCGGACAGGTGGATAGTTTGAGGCCAGGAGTTTGAGACCAACCTAGGCAACACAGGGAGACCCTGTCTCTACAAAAAATTTAAAATTAGCTGGATGTGATGGTGCACACCTGGAGTCCCAGCTACTTGGGAGGCTGCAGTGTGAGGATCACTTGAACCTGGAAGGTTGAGGAAGCAGTGTTGATCATGCCACTGCATTCCAGCCTGGGTGACAGAGCGAGGCTCTGACCTCCCTCCAAAAAAAGCTTGCTGGCAACAATTTTTATTTTGTTTTACACATTTTATATATATATAATATATTTTATTTTATATATACTTAATATATGTATTGAGACAGGGTCTTGCTCTTATGATGGTTTATTTTAAGAAGAAGGAGGGTGTTGCAAACAAATGCTTGGGTGCCGCCAAGAAAAATCAGCACTGAGACAAAGGATCTCTCAGCAAAGCAATTTTTACTTTTTCACTTCCTGCACTGCAGGAAGGGTACCCTCGCTAGCCATCTGGCCATGAGAGTACAAGGAACCAAGGAAAAGCAGACATGTTATCCCTGACGCATTTGGGGTTATCCTTACTGCTGTGTCTGATCTCCCTGTGTTGGAGCCAGACCTCACAATCTAAACTAACACCTGATTGGCTAATAACTTAAAACTTTTCTAAACAGTTAAGGGGATAGGCTGCAAGCCGGGACATGCCTGTGAGCGCGCCCAGCACAGATATCTTGGTTAAAGTACAAGGACACAGAATGTACTACGTGCCTATAAGCATGTCAAACAGCCACGTTGGATAGGGCTTAACAAAGAGTAATCAGCACACTTACGATTTATTCTTTACCAAGAAAGGAAACTGTGAAGAGGAACTTTTTACTTCCCACAAAGGGGGAATCAAAGTGGAAGATATATTGGCGTTCCATGTGCTATTCTTTCCGTTTTTCTCTGGGTTTGATCATTTTCAAGTTAAAAATTGGGACACAAGAGGCCTCTGCGTGAGGCAGAGCTCAGGGCATCTCCCAGGTTCCTGGGCCAGGAAAACGTGGGCAGGACTTGGTTCCCTTCTGTTTGCGACCCACCCACTTCCCACCCAGTCCCAGTTGCCAGAGCCAGTGAGAAGGGTGGAAGGACAGGCCAAAGATGAAGCCTCGCTCCGCTTGGCCCTGGCTGGGCCTTCCTACGCTTGCACCACCTCACTCAAGGCAGGGATTCTTGGGAGCCCATTTTACGCATGTGCAAACTGAGTCCAAAGTCACCAAGGGACTGGCGCAAGGTCACAAAGCGAGGAAGGGGTTGACTGCAGGGCAGCCTCCGAACCCCAGTCCCGCCAGTCTCCTTCGTGTACCTTCTGGCCTCCTCACCATGCCCTTCCTGTCCCACCCCAAATCTCTCTATCTTAAGCAACGACCTTCCCACCTTTGGCAATGTCCCTGCCCTGGCTGCCCCAGCCCAACTGCCTCCCCTCTAGGGGATCACATTTTCAGGAATCACTCCTGAAGATGGCCAGGTACCACGGAGGGGCAGGGCATCAGTGGACCCCGATTTGAGGCCTGAGCGGTTGGGACTGGTTTGGGCCCTGGCTGGCCTAATCTCCCTTTTGCAGAGCGTGGGCATCGTCCGGCTGGTAGCCAAGGGCCATCCATCCGCTTTACAGCGGGCAGCTGTGACAGGCTGCTTGTCTCCAAGGACAAAGCCTGCTGGCTGTGGTTGGACGAAACCCACTGCAGACCTCAGGCTCATTGTCTGGGTACATCAGGTGGGAAGCCTGAGGTCTGCCAGGACCCAAGGGAGCCTGGAAGGTGGCCTGAGGACATTGGGTCCTCACCCCGGCTCCTCAGCTAAACCCCCCCATAGCCCAGGGCCATGTATTTTGAAAGGAAGAGCCGGCCACTGGGATGTTTTCACTTTGGGGTCACCTTAATCCCCCCAGAATTGAGGCTTGGCCATCGACCAGCTTTTATGTGACCCCGGCAGTTTCTTCATTCTGTTTCTTCTTCCACAGACTGTTGAGAATCACCTCTTTCTCCTGGGGGCATCTAACATGGCTGTGAGGAGATTTGGAGTGTTGGGATCACTGTCATTTTTCTTCGAGGGGGCCTGCTCCTGCTTTGTAGACAAAGTAGGATCCCTTCCCCTCCCTCGTGCCCCTACAAACCCTGGGCCTCGAGTGTCCAGGATGGGCCCAGAACTGGCACTGTCACGGCTTCCTCGGCCCGCTCCAGCCCCTCCCATACAGCAGTCAGCAGTCAGGCTGATCTTTCTAAAATTTCCCATCTATTCAGCTTATATTAAAAAAAAAAAAAAAAAAGAGAGAGAATGAGAAAAGAAACCCCATAACATTTCTCTCTGATTCTGTCTCTCCCCTGCTCACAATCCTTCTGTGGCTCCCTAGTGTCTCCAGGAGAAAGTTCACCCTTCCTCCCGTGGCTCAGTCCGTCCACCCCAGCCGTGGCTCCTCCTTCACTGTGCCTGTTCCCCGTACCTTCCAGCCAGAGTGAAATCCCCAGGCCTCTGCATGGGCCACTCCCCCCGCTTAGGAATAGACAGACCCGCCCCCTGGTCTTTTCTGGTTCATTTCCATTTTTCCTCCAGGTCTCTGGGATACTTTCCCTGACCTCCTGCCTCAGGAATGCCCTGATCTCCGCAAATGTCAGGAACTTGTCCGCCCACCTGCCTCCAGCACCCAGGTTATGCTCTACAGAGTGCTTTGGAATGGTCCAACAGACCTAGTCACACCCAGACAGACGCCTTGTGTGTGTTTGAGGGTGCTGGTGCTGGGGACAGTGGGAAGGGACTCTGCCTCCTGGGCCCCCAAGGCCCAGCTGCACCTGCACTGCTGCTTGTGGCCACCGGAGGGTGAAACAACTATTTAGTGTCAACCTGTGGCAGGGCCCTCCTCAGCCTGGGAGAAAAAAGAAGCCCCTCCCACCGACGCCCAATTTCCCCTCCTGTCACTGGGGCAGCTCAGGAAGTAAAACGTGGAAGCAGCTGGTGCAGTAGCCTTGAGCTGGGAGTCAGAACTTCTGCCTACCCTCCATCCCCTATTCCAGGCCCCCTTCTGCCACCAGCCAGCATAGGGACTTGAATAAGTCACATGTCTGCTTTTGGTTTCAGATGATCTGTGACACGCCTGGCCTGGAGCCTGGCACACAGCAGGTGCTCAATAAAGACCTATTTGGCCAGGCGTGGTGGCTCACACCTGTAATCCCAGCACTTTGGGAGGCCAAGGTAGGCAGATCCCCTGAGGTCAAGCATTCAAAACCATCCATCCTGGCCAACATGGCA